ACACACACACACACACACACACACACACACACACACACACACACACAGTGTGTCCTTGAGCAGGTGTTCCACACTCAGAAGCAGAAATGATTTGTTTAAGACTACTGGGCTGGAAAGTTTGGACTGTGCTTTCAGTTTCCATCTTCAAAACTTCACAGCAGATTTCAGCCATTTTAGTTGTGGTCTTTGTTTAGTGCCAACATTAAATCACAGCTGAATGACATAAAGTCAGGAGAAAAAGTAGTGCATAGTTTCTCACTGAGAATAAAACGGCAGGGGAGCAGTGAGTGTTTGGCCTCTGAGCCAGGGCCGACAAACTGCGGTCCTGAGGACAGCTGCCCTGCATTTACCCCCCTGATCTGATTAAATGGCTCTATTCAAACATTGTTAAGCTCTGCCCAGGCTTGCTAATGGCGCACTGATGGGAATGAGATGTGTTGAAGCAGGGAAACACCTAAAACTCCAAGCAGGGAGTAAGAAGGCCAGCGCACTGACCAGGACAGAACTGTTCTGCTCTAAAAGTCAGACAAATGGACCAGATCACCCGTACAGCATCAACAAAAAGGGAAATCACTTTTTATCTCCTGTCTTTGTAAAATCCTTGCCACAGCCATAAATATGCTTTCCTTAAATAACATATTTAACAATTCCTACGTTTTTGAAAATTTGTGACCAACTCTGCAGACATCTGAGCCTTCATCCCCAGAAACTGCGGGCTGTTTGCTGGGTGTGTGATGCAGTGCTCTTTGGATTGTACTAAAGCCTGGATTAAGCGAATGACCATTATCCTCAGTTTGTGCCTGTGCAGATACCAGAGTTTAAGTTTCTGCCTGAAGTGGAGGGTGGCATTCTGCAGGTGGGAGCTGCCCAGGCCTTAAAACTTGGGGTCTGTGTTGTCCCTGACTGCACATCTCTCAAATCGTTTTGTCCCAACTTTCTTCCCACTTTTCTTTTTGCACTTTTCTTTGTTTGGAACACTTCCTGAACAACCCTAAATGAGCACCTGCTGTGCAGCTCTTTTGTGCAGCAGGGGCCGTCCAGCTCTGCTATTGGAGAAGCTCCTGGCTGTCCGTGTGGGGATGAAAGTCTGGACAGAAGTTGATGTAATCTGCCACACACTGACTCATGGCAGTGATATAATCTCCATGTAGATCCAGTTTGTATTCCAGTCTGTGGATTGAAAGTGAATTGCAGTTTTCAGCCTCTGGGGAATTTCAGGAGAGAAACCAGTTCATAGTAGGAGAGCTCAAGAGAGGGTGTGCATTTGGAGCTGAGGACACCCTGACTGGCATATGCTTTTCCACTGTCATGTGTTTTCAGCTTCTTTGTGACTGGAACACACCATTCTGGTGTGTTCGATTCATGTTAAAAGGCATTTTCTTCACTTATTTAGGCTTTTCTCAATGTAGATGTTCCTTTGTTATTACGCAACGGTATCTCCTTTCCCCCCTTTGGACCTGCTTTGTATCCTTCCATGTGGCAGACACTAAATGTGTATTACATAAGATGATTTGGCATGCAGAGATTATCTCTCATTGCTGTAGGCCAGTGACCTGACTTCTCCAAATTCAACCGGCGCCACAGGCACATTTGCAGAAAAGGGCTTTTCCCTGTCCACTCCACTTAGTAACAGCTCAAGGCACTACAAGAAATGGACAAGGGGCACGAAAGGCAGCCGATATGGAGCTGTGGAGCTGGTGGTGAATCCAGGCATGTGTAAAACCCAGTTTTACAGCTACTAACTGCTCTGAGGCATTTTGCTCATGAACAGCAGAGATGTGGAGGAGAAAGCGTAGCGGTTTGATCTTTTTCGCACGTGTTGACATAAGTACAGAGGAAAATCTGCTCTCCCTCTGGTTGTGCTTGGTGTGGGGGCCTGTTTCCTTTCCAACATGTTGGTAACAGCACAGAATTCTCCTCTTTGTGGTCATTCTAATACATTTTTTGCGTAAAGCCTAAGGTTAATGTTCCCACGGCATGCGTATGCCCTGGTGGCACTATAAACTGATGCAGACCCTATTAATCTGAGAAACATGTGAGCTTCCATGAGATCACTTTTCTGTCTCTTGCTCGTACTGGTATCAAGGTTCCTGGAGACATTCCCATGGTGGGTGGAAGTCAAAACAGTGATCTCCTCAAGTCTAACCTGTTAGTATAATGGCTGCATGCAGATGGAGTTAGGCTTACATTTCAGATGGTGTGCAGAATGCAGATCATTTGACTGTTTTCTTCCAGATGAATAGTTTGTCATCTGCTCTTTTTTAAAAAATTATTTTGAGTGAGAAGTTCTGTTCTCCTTCAATGTCCAAAATAGTAAGTGGTGGTTAGTTTAGGTGTTGAGTGAAGAGTGTCCTTAGGTGTAGGATGAGAATGAAAGCCTTAGTAGCTGATCATGGCAAAGCTTAAGATGTCATCCAAAAACATACATGTTTGGTCAGTTTCACACTCTAGCAAGGAAGGTAAGTGTGTGTGTGTGTGGTTGTTTGTCTCTGTGTGGTCCTGTGAACTCTTGCTGTGTATTATTTTATAGATATTTATATTTATTCTATTCACACCATTTATGAATAGATGGTCTAACTCTTACTTCTTCCCACTACTGACGATTGCATTTCTTTGCATTTTTTGCTTAGTTTGTGTTCAATTGGATTCCAAAACAGGTTTTGATCAGTGAATATTTCTTCATTGCAATTTTCACAATTACTTTAGCCATTTACAGGTACAAAAAGGAAAAGGGCCTGGAGCCAGAATTGAGCCCAGGCTGCCTACACAGGAGCATGGAGCCTCCAAACATGGGCCACAGCAGTCCAGAGATATAGATCTGACCTTTAAAAGTCCACTTTTCTAAAGGGATTTATGATGTTTGGGTGGAAAAGCTTAAAGGAAATGTTTGTGGACTACTTTAAACATTGCATGTTAGAGTTGCCACGTGAATTTGATATGTTTGACTTTTCTAACCCTTTTTCTTCTATCTTTCTACTTTGTTCAAATGGCCAGCGGTGAAGAGGCTGATGAAGGAAGCTGCTGAACTGAGGGATCCTACAGAGCATTACCACGCCCAGCCACTGGAGGTACGCTCATATCATATCAGCCTGTTGTTAGTGGTCTCCGCTCTCCCCTCTGTCTGTCCAGTCCTATATAGGAGGAGAGGGGCGCTGCCCAGTGCCCTCCTGATGGTTCTGTCAGGGTTATCTGTGTCAGGGGTCCCAGCTTATCTGCCAGTGAGCTCACATCTCCAGTAGGAAACAAGAAGAAGAAGAAGCAGCGTAGCCCATAAAAAATCAGAGCCAGCAGCAGTTTCTAGGTCTGCTGTATGGACCAGTTTGCATTTAGAGGGAAGCACATGTTGGAATTAGCTCTGTTTCCTCTCTGGCAGAATCTCACCTACTTTAACCTCAGACTGTCACAGTAATGGATCACATGTCACACTGCTTTTTTCTTTCAGTTTTAACCTGACTATACAAGACATCATAGATTTTCCTAACAATCAACATATACCGAACCGAACCCAAAACCGTGACCACCAAACCGTGAACCGAACCGAACCGTGGGTTTTGTGAACCGTCCCACCCCTAATCTCCACCGATAATCTTGAAGAGCAATGCTCAAACGCTTTGTCATGTATTTTTCCATTTCATGCCTGTTCTGTCTCCTAGATACCTCCTCTAAGTTATCATGATTTGATTTAGATTTTCCGGGAACTTTGGGGGGCTTTGGAAAACCCAGTTAGCTGCTCTCGTTGGTTTACTGTTACCACGGTTTAGCATGACAACAGATGTGCAAACACAGCATCCAACCAGGCACAACATGTCAAAATGTCTGATGCCTGCTGTAAAAGAGAAAGCAAAAAAAAGAAGCTTAGTTAGTAAATTTCAAGGTGATCCAAATAAAGCTTTCCCAGACCTATTGCATCCAGGGCCATTTTTCCTCTCCCTGAAGATCTTAGCTCATCTAATCCTCCATACTAGTTGAGCCAACCAGTGAATCATTCAGAGAGATGTCCTTTTATTTCTGGGTTTCCAACACATCATTTCCAGATATTCCTGCAATGTAGTGCCTGCTCCATGTGTGATGAACTTCTGTCTGCAGGATAACCTCTTTGAATGGCACTTTTCTGTTCGTGGGCCGCCTGATTCAGATTTTGATGGTGGAATCTATCATGGCAGGATTGTACTCCCCCCAGAGTACCCCATGAAGCCCCCCAGCATCATCCTCCTCACAGTAAGTCATATATAAGGCCATGTCTCAATTGAATTTGATCATTTTTCTCTTTCAGGAGAACATCAACTGTATTACTTGTGGAAAATGGACAGTGTTTCATTGAACCCTGAGCTCCAGATTTTAAAGCGCTGTTAAAAAGAATTACACTGCTCTAATGACAGAGGAAATATTATTAGGCTGAATGTTTCTTTTTTTCTATTCAGGTCAGCTGCCAGAAAAATCGTATTTTTTTCCTCTGAAAACTTGGACATCCGTCATATGTTCTGAGCTATATAAAACTCTGTTTCTCGTAGCTGTACATACTTAAATGTATCTCCACCCACACAACCCTTCAGCTTGTTGTTAATTTCACTCTCAGCCAAATGGAAGATTTGAAGTTGGGAAGAAGATTTGTCTGAGCATCTCTGGCCACCATCCTGAGACCTGGCAGCCATCTTGGAGTAGTAAGTAACATCTGAATTAGGTTTGTTTAGACGTGTTTAACTTCTAGTTTGCTTACAGTTTGAATGCATGATGAACGTGAATACTCCAGAATGGAGTCATTTTCATGGATATTGGATCTGGATCTTTTCTACACAGTACCCCTCATTTCAGGCCACTCAGGTGTGTCTCGGAGCTTCAGAAAAAACTGCCGTGCATCTCTTGACATGCATCGCAGGTTTTGGCTGGAGTTTATATGCCAGATGCCTTTTCGGACGCAGACATGGAATCAAACTACACAGCCACAGGATTCATTGTAAATGGTGACCTAGCCCCCAAAAATAAGTAGACTGTATGTGTCAACAGCAAGTAAGAATTATATGCACACAAAGCTAGAATGTTCAGCCATGAATTAGCATAGTGCAATTTAGCTGTCTATATTTTTGTATCAGGGAATGACGCCCTGTCATAAATGATGAGAAGGTAACATCCTGAAGTTAAGTCTGTGGCCTTTCTTAGTATGGTTCTGCTCTGTACCTGCGTTCTGTGTAAATCTGAAACTTCATCATGAACAAGTACTTTAAAGAATGCATCAAGACAAGTACGCTCCACATTCCTGGATGTAAACGAGCTCCACCCATTTCCCGAGGACGCTTCCGAAGTGACTTACCTCAAAGTTGTTGTTTTTTTGGATAATGTTGACGTCTTTGACATTATGAGTCCACTTGTTTATTAACAAATATAAAACACTGCCACCCAATTTGTGGCAGTGCTTGTTACCCAGTCAGTAATTTACTTCCTGGTTAACATTAACGTGCCATGATGGTACATAGAAAAAACCCAGAATTTCACAAACTCTATATGTATGTTCAACATGAACTAACGTGGTGTGGCACCACAGACACAATTACAGCAAACCTTTCATATTCACTTATTGGTGGTCCTGATTAAGAGCAACCTTAATTCTTCCCAACGAAAATCCTTACATTCTAGTAATTAGAGAGGACTGTGGTATTTAAGCTTCACCTGCTGCTAACAGGTTTACCGTGGTGTCATGGTGTCACTGGATGCCTTAATGTTGACCAGTGCATATCTGCAATGTATACGAAAAAAGCAGGGCAGAGGCTCTGCCGTTGCTCAGCCTCAGCCCTGTTTGACATCTATAGAATTCAAGCAGTAGTATTTCAACCAAGAACTCAGTTTAGTTCTCAACTGGCATGGCATACTTTTTCTTAGTCCTGCTTTCATGTTACTTCTCAGCATGGGACTTTAATCAAAGGGAACTCAGTGGGAGATGGTACATCTTCCTCAAAGCCTTTTTCCCCAACTGGCTCCCTGTCATAACTCAAAACAGGTTTAAATCAATAACAGAATTAAATCAAAGACAAAGGCTGCTTTAAACTACTTTTCATGAACATACTGCAGGTCACATGGCTAGCCATGCCTCCGAGATTTGGCTTCCCCTGCTGGGATCTTAAAGTGTTGTGTACAAGCTTTGTCTGATCCTGTTTGGTTTGACCGCAGGAGGCCCCGCTTGATAATTGCACTGAGTTCTGAACATCACAGGCAGGCCAGCTGTAGCGGTTCCAGAGTGATGCAGACTACTGTTTTTAGCTCGTATGTTATGCCTGCATATTAGACAGAGTTTCTAACTAATTCAGTCCTGTTTTCATACAGAACTTTAGAGAAAATTTCTATTTTTGTATTTTGCGTATGCCTATCTTATTAGCTCTGTACACATGAGTAGTTCACACAGTTTCCCTCAAGCTGTTTTGGGATTTGTATGTATGCAAAAGAGAATTTTAAAACACATCTGGCAGTATATTTTTGTCCAGCCTCCCTTCCTACATTCTTGTTATTTACATAAAATTGTTAGTGTGTATAGATGTATATACTTATCTGTGTTCAGCTCTTCAGGTGTGACTTTGGACAGAAATTAAACGCTTCCAATGCTTTGTGATGTTTGTGTGGAACCAGAAGTGGAAATTACCATCACTATTTTCTACTTATGGACATCAGAAATGCCACCCCCCCTTCTTATTTACCCCTACCAAATGGTCATCTATTTCAAGTCATATTATGGCTGATCCCTTGTGTCCCAATCATTCTTTTTGGTGCACTATCCCCTCACAACCCTACTGGACTGAGCACATACAGAAAACGGGTGAATGGATGGACTCTACCTGCTCTAATTGTAATTGTGAACAGGAGAGGTTTAGGAATGCTCCTGTTTATTTTATTGAGTATGTTCAGTAGGATAAAAGTGTAGACTGTCAGTGTTGCATTATAATGTATATAACCTTTAAGCTGATGATTTCCCCAATGCTATGCTACAATGGTCACATGCATTCTACATTGTGTATGAAAGGATTCAGTGGAGTACAGATATAATGTAAACCACTGACCCTGAGTCTATTTCAAAAGCTGTGGCGTGCTAACGGGGGAATGTGTTTGAACATCTGCAGTGGATGCTGAACATGTACAGTCTTGTTTTACTATCACACCTCTGTACCAGGTCACTTGGAGTTATCATTGGTCTCTTCTCTTGAATGTTTGAATGTTTTTCTCTTTGTCTCTGTCAGTCCGGACTGCCCTAATTGCTATAATCGGATTCATGCCAACAAAAGGAGAGGGTGCCATTGGATCTCTTGATTATACTCCAGAAGAGAGAAGGGCCCTTGCCAAAAAGTAAGTCTGCTTGATGAAAGTCTTTCCCGTCTTCACTCTCTGCACAGCGTGAGTTGTATTTGCAGAGCAATGGATTGAGAATTCTAATGAAGTGAATTTGTGGAGTGCTGTGGAACTCTGCGTTTCACTTGGATGATATGACCTGGTGTGATGCTGGGAAGATAACGCTGAAACCAGGCTCTGTCCAAGTGTTAGGTCTGTGTGATCAACAGCAGAGCTCTGAGGAATAAGCCTCCTGTTAATCATTTTCTTCTCACAAATTGAATGTGTCCAAACCAGTCTTTGAAGGGCAAGTTGACAGAGTCATAATCACCACAGTTCCACCCCTCTCCAGAGTGTGCATGAGTGGGCATGTTTCTCTGCACACCTCACTGTGGATCCAGAGGACCCAGCTAAGCCTCTCTTTGATTTGCAAATGAGATGAGTGTCACGGTCAACCGGTTGTTTCATTATCACGCGCACACTGGAGTGACAGGACAAGAAATGTTGTTAAAAATATCAGCCACTTGTGGTATGTCCTTACTGGAATAGCTTTTGTTCTCCTGTTGCTTTGTTAGAGGGCTGAAGCAGCTATTTGGCCCCATCTAATTTGTTTAGTGATGACCTTTTATCTATCTATCAATCCATCCATCCCTCCATGTTCCCAGGTCAGAAGAGATCTGTAACCCTTGCCCCGTTGTGCTGCTGTACCACTGTGGCAAACTTATCCGTTTTCTATGCTGGTGGTCTGTGTGAGAATCAGTGTCGACCGGTTTTAAACTCCTTTTCCTCCCGCCGTGTCCTGCTTCTGTGCTTCTTTTATTGTAATGATGGGGGGAGCTGATGATGTTGCCCTCTTCAGTTGAACTGTGTCTTAAAACGTCTCAGCTTTTTTTGCTGTTTTGCTCTCTGCAGATAAACACAAACACAATTCAGTTAACTGATCTCCTCAGGCTCCCGTGCACTATCCAACATAGAAACGTTTTTTCTCTATCAATTGGCTTCTTTCTTTTTCTTTTCTTTTCTAATTTGAAGACTGACTAATATCCAGACAAATGACTGCAGAGCATACTGCCTTTGCTATTGCGACTTGTATAAATACAATACATTTGAAATAGGATTATTCCTTCATCATTCCCAATATGTTTAATGTTGAGTTAAAGCACCAGTACCTTTTGTGAATGGGTAACCTTATAAAGTATAGAACAGAAGTGTTAAATGAAGGAATGAGTTAAATGAGTGGTTTAAAAGTATCGGGGCAAACTTGCTTTTGAGAGAAGAAAACCACATTCTGTCCAACCTGTTGTCTGGCAGATCTCAGGATTTCTGCTGTGAAACCTGTGGCTGTTCCATGCGCTGTGCCCTCATGGCCCTGACCCCCAACAGCAACCCTAGTGCCGAGGATCACAAGGCCAAAGAGCTGGCTCAGCAAATACATTTCAAGGTACATGAGAAGCTTCTGTTATTCTCTGTTCACTTAAATGCTAACTGAAAGCTTTGTTATTTCTCAGCTATGAAAGATATTGTTAAAAAAAGCTGTAAAATGTAAATGATGATACAAATCTTCCATGTTAGAGTTACAGATTTCAACCTTCATTGCCACTCATTATTCTATGTATGCAACGACTACATAAAATGATCACAGTTAACAGGAACCATTTCAGTCAGGCCTCAGAGGTTTCCCTCTGTGTGTAGAAGCAGGGAAACCTCTGAAACCTGCAGGACAGCAGCCCAAAGAGGCCTGGAGCTGCTCACCGCAGAATTAAGTAACATAGCTTCACCAGACAGCAGGAGAAGTTGCAGATGTTTCTAACGAAGCTCTTGTGAGCGCCGTGTGTTTCTATTGATGGACAAGCAAGCCTTGCTCTTACAGATGACCAAATACATAGACTATTTCTTCATAACATATAGTGATTTTAGGATAATTGTGGGGGTCTGCATGAAACTCATGACCTATGCAGGTGTTCTAGACAGTAATAGTTATCATAATCATATTTCTGTTCAGTCATCCCTAAACACAATTAAAGCTTTTTGTCACATATAGCAGACACCAGTTTTTGCAGAAACGTTTTTAAAACTTTTATGATCAGTATGGAGACTCTTCTGTTAGCACTGAATGGCAAAAACTTTACTGCTTTTGTCTTGCCACCTCTCTTCTCTTTTATTTCCTTTTGCGTAATTTTTTATTATTTTTACACATTTCATTCATGTCTCTTAAATTTCTTTCAACAATTATGTTGCTTTAAAGTTCAAACTCAGGCTCGTTGGAAATCCCATTTATCTCATTTTAGGCTCTAGAGACCAGAGCTGTTTGTGGCTGCCTAACGTTACGGGTAGATGTGTACAGTATATGTACTGATACTGCATAGATACTGCACAGCTCACTAACTGCTCACAGAGTTAGCCTTTCTGCCACCTCTTTAAGTAAAGCATTTGATACGGGGCTCAGCATGACATCCTCACTTAAGGTTTGTAGTCATACTTTCCAGTGTTTTCCTTTCTGTCCATGCAGGAAGAAGCCAGCTTACCCAGTCAAACCAGTGCAAGCAGAGACCCTGAAGGTGAGCCTTCAACCCTCCCCCCGGAAAATCCATTCCCCCCTGTGGACCAGGAGGCTGCAGAAAGCCCTCAGACTGAGCAGGTAGGTCACAGAGAACAGGACAGAGCTGGTCGGCTCCTGGTGCACAGACCTAGCATTTGCAGTAGTTTATTTATTCATTTCACCTATATTGAAATTTGTGAGATAAACTTTTATGTTGACCCCTACATATATACCTTTCCAAGTTAGGACTTATAGGACTTTATTGTTCATTGTGCAGTGTATGAAAGAACTGAGTAAGTGCAGGAAGTTGATGTGCTTCTGATCCATTCCCCCTCTTTATCCATATTTTAAAAATATCCATTCAGATCCATGGTCAAGTCATGGAGGCCATGAGCGTAACACATCACTCTCCATCTCTTTTGAGGGGTCCTGAGGCATTCTCAGGGCAGATGTGTCATCCCTTCAACATGCTGTGGCTCTGCCACTGCTCTCAGTTCAACATGTTTGAAAATCGTTTAGAGAGAGCCAACCAGTAATATCCTAATCAGGTGCCCTAACCCCCACAACCCTGCTGTCAGAGTGAGGAGCAGCAGCCATCACTGTATGGTGGCTCTATCCTCCACCCATGAGGAGTGGGGAGGGAGGAACCAGGCCATGCTGAAAGGCCCTCACATTCCTGAACAACTTCTTTGTATTTGCACAGATTTAGCTCTGTTACTGGCTGGGTTTGGTGCCTCGGAGCACTGACATTTTGTTGCCAGATACTGTTGACGGAAATGCACAGACTTAGTCTGGAGGAGTGGAAAGGATTTCTCTGGAAAAGCCAGGAGCCAACATGGACTCAGTGTGTGCGGCTGGTCTTTAACTAGCAGAGTGAGACTGCTCGTACACAATCAATGTGTAATTCAGTGTCTTCCTCCAGATATCCTCTATTCTGGAAGATGTGAGTCTTTTTATTTCTCCCTGTCCAAAGCCAACACAAACTTGTTTCATATCAGTCTCCTCCTTCTGTTGTCCGCACTTCCTATTGGTATTTGAGAACCAACAGATTATCATCTTAATCTTAAACCAGCACTCAACACCAAATGTTGATCGTTATCATGGATTTGTCTTGACTGTGTATATTGAGTAGAAAAAAGTGACAACAGCTTCTGACTTTCCCAAAGCTTAAATGTTTTGGTCTGTAGGCAGCAGTCCAGATGCATTTAACAGGACAATGATGCTGACATTTTGTGGAAAGAAATGACAGAAAAGGATATTTGGTTTCTCTGAATTGGAATTCAGTTATCATCATCCACATGAATACTTTCTGAGAGCTGGAACATCAATTATTGATGTACACAGAGGGGGCAGAAGTGAACTCCCAGCAGTGGCATCTAAAGGCAAACGGGCTCAGCTCAGCTTCTGATGACAAACACCCCACAGGCCAATGGCCACTCTATCTGACTCAACCATCCCCAGAGCTGGGTGAAAGCAGCCTGACTCCTTCTTGGGTCTTGAAGAAGATTCACCTCGTCTTTTGGGCTTTTTGAGTTCTAAACCTCAGTCTGAACTGAAGAAGCCTTTCACATGAAAGGGTGAAATGCCTTCAAGATCCGAACTGCGAAAAGTAGCGAACACTTGGAGAAGCCGACAGATCGCCATACCTTTCGTACAAAACTAAAGGGATACTCGCGCGTTGAGGTAGTTTAAAGTGTATTTACAGAAGGGTCTAGCTGCACCTGCAGCCATCTACAAAACGCATCTCCATACAAAACACACCTCCCGCCCAGCCAATCGCTGATTTTGATTTGGACATTACGTCATCTTGGATACAGATTAATTGAAGTGAATCAAACGTGAGCATGATGCTTACTACCAGCAAGGTTGTAGTTAGCACATAAAAAAGTAATGATAGTCTTGTTCAATGTTGGGATTAAAGGAACAGTTCAATTGATGATCAAATTGATGTACAATTTTGCCACGTTTTTTATTTGCTTATATCTTCTAATTTTCCAGGGACTGCACATGCTTTAAATACGAAATTGTTAGAAATAGCATTTCTAAGTTAATCTGTAAACAAAAGTACTTGACTTTCGGTGTTGTTTTCTGGTAAGTTTGTGTGTTTACCTTAAACTATGGGTATGCTGGTCAGACGGGGCATGGGGCATGCGAAAATCTGACGTCATGCGCATGCGTATTAGGGATGGGAGGGTTTCTGAAAGCCGTCTGAACCGTTGGGTTCTGTCTCGGTTGGGTTGGCGTGTGTTGGTTCGGTTCCTGCTGCTCCTTTTTCTCAGAGGGAAGCGTTTACACTCCAGAGCAGAAGGGGGCGCTACTGCGCCCAAAGCCAACCACCAGTAGGAAACCAGAAGAAGAAGAAGCAGCGTAGCCCATAAAAATCAGACCCAGCAGCAGTTTCTAGGTCTGCTGTATGGAGCAGTTTGCATTTAGAGGGAAGCACATGTTGGAATTAGCTCTGTTTCCTCTCTGGCAGAATCTCACCTACTTTAACCTCAGACTGTCACAGTAATGGATCACATGTCACACTGCTTTTTTCTTTCAGTTTTAACCTGACTATACAAGACATAAGAGATTTTCCTAACGATCAACACATACCGAACCCAACCCAAAACCGTGACCACGAAACCGTGAAGCGAACCGAACCGTGGGTTTTGTGAACCGTCCCACCCCTAATGCTTATTGACTATGGGTATCCATGCATATTGACTATGGGTATCCATGCATATTGACTATGGGTATCCATGCATATTGACTATGGGTATCCTGACAGAACACCGGCCCGCTGGGACCTGGAGGAGCAGCGGGGGCTTTAATGACTCACCGTAACCTCTGGGCCCTTTTCTCTTTTGTCCAGGCAGCAGGAGAGGGGCAGCCCCGCCCCTCTGACCAGCCCCGCCCCTCTGACCAGCCCCGCCCCTCTGACCAGCCCCGCCCCTCTGACCAGCCCCGCCCCAGCCGGCCTCTCAGCCCCCGGCAGCGGCGCAGCCAGCGGGGCCAGAGGGAGGGCCGGGAGGCCCCCCCCAGAGTCCCCTTTGTCCCGGCCCTGCAGCCTCCAGACCAGAGCCAGGCGCGCTGCACCCTGCTCATCGTGCTGCTGACCCTGGCTCTGACCGCACTCGTCTTTCGCAGGATCTACCTGGTGAATGAGTTCAAGTTCAACTACGACTTGTGACGCCAGACCCCCCCGTCCGGGACCAGCTGCAGCCGAACTAGAGCCTTTGCTTTCATCTCTTTGTGGTGATGGCCCCTTTGGGTGGGGCTGGGTGGGGTATGGTGGGTGGGCACTCCCATTCCTGCAGACCAGGCCTCCACTCAAAGCAGCACCTCCGGGCTGCCTTTTAAAGGATGTGACTTTTATTCCCCAGAGCTGTGTTCCTTTCTGAGAGGAGAAGCTCTACTGCTGGTGGTGTGTTCAGCAGCCACACACCACAACCCCCCCTCCAGATAATTGTCTGTCATACGGTTCCACTTGTGTCCCTGTTTGATTAAAACAGATGAAGTATGAAATGTAGCCGGTAGTTAAGGACTCATGTTTTCCTCTGTGTTCTGGTGTCCTGTCTGTCACAACAGCCTGTGAAGGATTTTGGACAAATGATCGATAGAAAGGGAGTTTGTGTTTTGAGCTTTAAACCAACGTGAAAACAGCGGACTGACGGTCTGCAGAGGCTGAATGAACCGGACTGGAGCTGAAGCCTGAGGGAACTTCGCCATCAACATTTCTCATTTCCCAAAAAACAGGGATGCAAATACCTCAACATTTGTACTAGACTTCTGGCCAGTCCTATAGCAGGACATCCCCAAATCACCAGGTGAGGATATTTAACAGTGTGTCAGCAAATAGTCTTTAACCACTGGCCAGGTGAGTGTCCTGCTCCTGCTCCTCCTGCTCCTGCTCCTCCTGCCCCTGCTCCTGCTCCTCCTCCTCCTCCTCCTGCTCCTGCCCCTGCTCCTGCTCCTGCTCCTCCTGCTGCTCCTCTTGCTCTTGTTCCTGTTCCTGCTCCTGCCCCTGTTCCTGCCCCTGCTTCTGCTCCTGCTCCTCCTGCTCCTCCTCCTGCTCCTCCTCCTGCTCCTGCTCCTGCTCTTCCTCCTCTTCCTCCTCCTGCTCCTGCCCCTGCTCTTTCTCCTCCTGCTCCTGCTCCTGCTCCTGCTCCTGCTCCTGCTCCTCCTCCTCCTCCTCCTGCTCCTGCTCCTGCTCTTTCTCCTCCTGCTCCTGCTCCTCCTCCTCCTCCTCCTGCCCCTGCTCCTGCTCCTGCCCCAGCTCCTCCTGCTCCTGCTCCCTCTCCTCCTGCTCCTGCTCCTGCTCCTCCTCCTCCTCCTGCTCCTGCTCCT